CATGGCTTTTAAAAGTTTTTTTATTTCAAATACACATGAACGGCTGTAGCACAGAAACAGGGATGAAAGGCACAGTCAACAGGACCAATTATTAGAATTTCAATTATAGCAGCAAACTTGAAAATAAATAATCTTCCTTTAAAAATCCAACAGGTACCTAAAGTATTACTAAATATATTAACCATCCAATCCATGAAGACATTTTAAGGAAAATATGTACAATACATTTGGAAAGAAAAGTCTGGCACAACCTGGCAGAGAACCTCTGGCAGCTTTGGGGGTGCTCCAGAGTCTCCGGATGCAGAGGAGCCTTTCCAGAGGAAGGGTACGGAACCGTGCAAGCTTTAGTTCTCTTTCCACAAATGAAACATAATTGTTAGGCTTAGCAGATTCAGAATCTTCCTTTAAAAACGTATTGTCTCTACTGAAATGGAAGTATCAAATCTGCTGGCAGTGCATCTTACAGTACTGTCGAGATCAGCCATTTTTAAGGCTCAGAGAATATGTCTTCAAAGGAATTTTCACCAAATTTGGGCAAATGGAACATTTCAGGTAAGTAATAGAATGCTAACCAAGCTGACGTACTGAACCTTTGATTCTAGGACAATTTGCTAATGACTAATACAATGAAACTACTAAGAGCAAATAATACAAGATAGCCTCCCTAATGTCCAAGAGTATTAAAAGATTCCCCATGAGGAACAATCCTTACTTCAGACCAGTTTTAGCACCGCTGTTCTTTCCATTTTACTGCAGCTTTAACAAAAGAACTCAGGCTTTGTGCAAGTGCTTCCCCTCAACACTTCTTTGCAGTCTTAAATAAGGTCACCTTCCTCTTGGCCCAAGCACACATTGAGTGCCAGCTCCTTTCCTCTTTAGTCTTTGACAGAGACCTACTTGTGCCCAAGCTGGAGAAAGGAGTGCTTCAGGTAAGAAGAGTTTACCTAGCTGTGATGATGATGTAAGTGTACCTCTAACAAAATCCTTGGTTTGGTTGCTATTTAAAAAATAATAATACTGTCTTTTTAGCATTGTATATTTACATGCACTAATTAAAATAAACATACTAGTTCTGTATTGGTTAAGATTAATTTAAAATCTTACCACTTAAAATTTACAGACTATAAATATTGGTACATAGCTTGGGAAAGGTTCCTTTTCTATAGAGATTGGATTGGATATTAATGTTCTCTTATAACATGAAGATATGATTATGACACAACTTTGTGATCTTCTGATAGTCTAACAGCCTCTAATGTTCTTTCATTTAGCTCTACTGGTCTTACATCAAGGCTATGGCAGTATAATAAAAATAAACGCAAAAAAATTAATGGATAAACCAAAATACAAACTTCCTTAGCAATTAACAGCTTAGAAGCAGAGGTATTTTGGAAAACATCAAAGTATAAAAATTTTGTTGGCACAAGTAGGGTTTGATCTGTGTTAAAATGATTTTAAAAACAAGTTCCTCATAAAGGCAGACATTTCTTCTCTTAGTTTAGTATCTGATTTAAAATACCACTTTTCATCATTCTTCTGTACAGTCTAAATCAGTATAAACACCTCATCTAGGAAAGAACATTCCTTACAGTCACACAGTCTCATTCCTGCAGCTCTTTAACAAGATGTTACCAAAATGCTGCAGCTCTTTTAACTAAGAATCTACTAACAGAGACTTAGATTTCAGGCAGAGAACGTTCTAGCTGAAACCCAGGAATATGATTTGCTAAAGAAGAGTCTACCCATTGTTTATCAAAATAAAAATACAGCATATGACCAGGAATCAAGGATGAAGACTTCTCCTCTTTACCACTTTCAAATAGGTATTACATTCATTTTCTGCTGCTACAGAATGAGTCACAGATCTAACAGACAGAATACCATCCAGTCATGTCAGGTCTGCAGGTCAGAAGTCCAAGTCAGCCTAACAGCGCTGTTCAGGATCCCACAGAGCTGGAATCATGGTGCTGGCCAGGTTGGCTCTGAAGTCAAACCTACTTCTAAGCCTCTAAATGAACATATGACCTGCATTTGGTTCCCGTGGCTACAAGGCTGCTAGCCCATTTTCTTGCCTGGCAGCCAGGGCCTCTCCACATGCCCACCCTGTTCCTTCTCTTGCAGCCCCTTCCCCTTTAAACCAGCAAATGGTATTCTGAGTCATCCTCTGAGGAGACTGCTTGCAAAGGGCTGACATTAGATTAGTGACCCTGGATAATCTCCCCTCTGCTGTAGATACCATGGCATAACCATGGGTTGTACAGTTCTACCCACATTCAGGAGAGGGGATTATATTATACATGGCCACAGGGTGTGGGTTACTTCTGATTCTGCCTCAGTACGAATACACACTGCTCTTAACTAGAACAATCTCCAATGTGCTGTTTCCATATAATCTGACTTTTGAGAGAACACTGTTGGGAGACGATTTTGTTTTTCCCTATTATGAAAGATTTAAAAGAAGCCTTTACAACTTTGCCAATGGCTTTTTAAATAGTCACACATTCTAATTCTTTACAGTGCAGCCACTGCTTTGCAAAGCCAGAGTCCCTTTGTTTAAAGACATCTCTAATGGCTGAACATATATCTACATGTGTAGTCCACATGCTACATTGTTTACATTAACTTGTTCTAAAGTTTTCAATCACTTTTTTTTTTTAATACCAAGGATTGAACTCTGGTCCTTGCACTTGCACACTTGCAAGGCAGGCAGCGGAACCACTGAGCTAAATCCCCCAGCCCACTATCTTTTTTTTCACTATATGGTATGATACAGTGCATGCTAAGAACACATGAGTCTAACAGAACTCAGATATCTTGGATCTTACCCCCAAATACTCATTTGCATTACAATTATTCATGTCTGCTTTTTCTTTTTTTTTGAGACAGGGTCTCACTATGTAATTGAGACTGACGTGGAACTCACTATGTAGCCCAGGCTGGTCTCAAACTGCCTTAGCCTCCCGAGTGCTGGGATTACAGGCATGCGCTACCATGCCCAGCTTCCATGTCTGCTTTTAACCTCAGTAATGAATTCTGGCTTCTAAAGTTTCAAATCAGCACTCTTGACAGTACCATCCAACAAAACTTCAGCAATGAAGAAAATCATCTGTATCTCTGGTGTCCAATTTGGTGGTCACTAGCCACATGTGGCCAGTGGATACTTGAAATGTAGCTAGTTCAGATGCAGGAGTAAATTCTTTATATTTAACTTAAATAGCCACTATGCATAAACAGTGGCTACTGTATAGGCCAGCATTGCTCAAGAGTGGATAGTTCATTCTGAAACACACGCCAGATCCCAAACTATGCCCTTCTACACATATTAGTCCACCATGTGACACTTCTCATCCACTACATTGGTAAAAGTGGTTTGGTGTATTCATCTTCCAGTTCCACATACTCTTCACTTCCTCCCGCTCTGCTTCAACACTACCCTGCAGGGCTCCTGTGACAGTTTTTTGCTTGGGGATACCATAGCTGCCACTGATTGCCTAGTGCCGGATGGGATAAAAATGGAGCAACTAACACAAGTCACAGTGCCTGCCACAGTGGACTGAGCAGCACTTATTACACACTGGCCTCAGGAGCTCACTGTTTGTCAGAAACACACACTCCTCCCTCTTATTTTCAGAGTATAGCATTTCTTCCTTAAAAGTCACAGTTGGCTACTGAGGAACCAAACTCTAGGGGACTCTTAGACCCTTCTCCACAGACTTTTACCTTCTGCTACTCAGTTGCTGATATACTAAAAGCTTGGGCCAACATTTTATAACAAAATATGCCTCTTTCTGAAGAAATCTGCTCATGGGCACTGAGCTAAGGAAATTGGAGAATATAAAAAGTAAAACAAGATCTAAACCCCCAATAAAAAAATTCCAACTGGACCTGGCTATAAAAATTGACACCATGGATTTTCCAATCAAGAAAAGAAACTATTACAATAGTGATGTAAGTAACTGTACTATGTCAATGTTTCCTACCTTTTCCCCTTCATAACAATGCAGAGAAAATGATATTGCTTGGAGCTATTTTCTGTGCACACCGGGTCACCAATGCAGTTCCCTCCAGGCTGGACACCACCAGATGGGATCTCTCAGGGCACCATCAGGGGCACTCAGAGCCCAGGGCATCGGTCTCAGCAAAAGCCCACTGGGCTGTCAGAGCAGACTGGCTGGGGCCCATTCATACCTTTACTCTGTAAAGATCACTGATTGCTGAGAATGATGAAATTCTTTCTTGATAATAGCAATATTTGGAATTGTGTGCATTAAGAGTAATAAATGCTCTTTTTGGACACTATTTACCTCTTACTTCATAATGCAAAGCAGAATTAATCATTCTGGAAAAGCCTACAACTACTACAATATCTTTCACCAAAAATCAGTATTACATTTTTTTCTTTAAAATTATACCCGTTGTGACACATACAATAACATTACATATGAAACATTTTGTCAGAACTCAGAAAACGAGAGCAGATATAAAAGGACCAAGAGGACAGAACGCATCTAAGTCAAATTAAAGACAAAGATTAAAAAAGAGTTTCTCATCTTCAGCTGGAGGAGTTAGGCATCAACTCACTGGTGATTGAGGTCGAGTATGTCCCACCTGCATGCTGAAATCCACCACACTGATCTCTCATGGCTGTGTACCATATACAGTACAGTAAAAGAACCCTCAAGAAGGATGTTGGTCTTTAAAATCTTGGCTTTAAAAGAATGACAAATGCCTTGAAAATATTTTGTTCAGAGTCACTGTGATTAGAAAAGTACTTCAGTTAAGAAATCCATCTATAATCAATCTTAATGGCAGTGCATTTGAAAAATGGCACTGATCTGTAATGTTTGCATTTCCAAAGAAAAAATATAGAAAGAACTTAAAAAAGCAAGGTAACTGGTTTTCAAAAAAAGTATCAATTCCAAAATTTACTGCACAAAAATATGTACTTCTTAAGTGTTTCTAATAAATTAACTCCATAACATTTGTATATTTATATATTTATATATATATATATAATCCCTGATGCTCTATAAAAGAGGGTCTATAATAGTAAAATAACTGAACTTCAAAAGTACCCCCTTCATAAAATATATTTAACATTATTTTTCTCAAATTTAAGGAATGTAACAATATGTACAACTCTTATGTATTAGTATAATACCAAAATAGTACAAGTCATATCAACAAGCTGTCATAATTGTAAAATGTTTTAAGTTAAAATTGGAGGACAGTGTAATTTCAGATGAGTATAATTATCCATGGGTGATTCACTTTCCAAGTGGAAATGACAATCATCTCTACAGTAGATTTCACAAGAGGTAGTGTTCAAGTTTTTAAAAAAAATCATGCTAAATTATCTTTACTTGACAGATTCAGAGGGAAAATATGTTGATTTCTTAGATGGTCAATTGGTGATTTTTTTAATATGAATCTGAAATGCAAAAAAGTGAAATGTGTAAGACCATTCATTCTCAATTTCAAAAAGGTCTTAAATGCAAAATCAAAATGTAAAAAAATAAAATAGAACCTAAGGGACTTCACTGATTTAAGATGTTCTTACCTCATTAAGAATAGCCCAAACAGCAGAATTCTGAATAACTGAAAGGCGAAAGGCTGCAATGGGGTTTAGACTGGGGTCCACCATTCCTTCTGCCACACCATTCTCAAATTTTCCTTCAAAACAAAAATAGTACTTACTGGACAGTCTGGGATAAACACACTAAGTCACTGATTTATGGCGGGAAAGAAATACACCAAGTATTTCCAGTAGATATCTAAACAAGAGATAAATGACTTTTCCCTTTTCCTACTTTAATTCAACTTCTAAATGTTTCATGAATTAGTGTGTGCCGAAAAACATCAGAGGCAACCTACTTAATCAGGCAGCACTAGACTGATATGCTCACTCTAAATTTTAAAAACCAAACAAATATATTTGCTCTTACATCAACAGTGTTTTAACTTACAGGTTTTTAGTAAATCAGGACTTATTCAAACTTTATCAAAAATATAATCTGTACTATTTTTCAGGCTCACTTCTCGGAAGGTTAGGTCAGCAGTCACATATGTCAGTGATCAAGTTACACACACATGCTGGTTGGCCTTTAGCTGGGGCTCAGTGCACACGTGGTCTCCCCACAGGCACATCTGGAAGGGATAAGAACTAATAATGCCTTCTCTACGTGGTTCCCACACAAAACTCCTTTAAAAATAATGAGCTTTAAAGAAAAAGCTCTTCTATAAGAACAAAGACCAAAGACTTCTATAAAAGGTTATGAGGTTGTGTGTTTCTTACCAAAGTTTTCCTTCTATAAGGAATACTATACTACTTAAAGTAATAAAATGCTGTCAGAAAAGTGGTAAAAAAAAAAGGGCTCCATTCTAACTCATTTTCTCTAAGCCAAGAGTTGGCAAACTTTTCCATTAAGGGCAGCCTTTTTGACCAAGAGAAGACTGAGAATACTAGGTAGATGCTTACATATAGGAAGAGAAAACAAATTCCCACAAGTGCTTTATTGATGAAATTCACTATCTAGTGATAAGTACAATTTGTTTTTACTGGAAATGTAATAAAGAGAATATAAGTCTTTTTTCCTTGGGACAACTTCATTTAAATGATTTCAAAGTTAGTGATTATCAAATCTCAGTGCACCTATTCATCTGCTGCTACTCATCTACAATGATACGTTACATACTTTGCTTTGGAAGGTCCTTCCACACCACCCAGGTACTACTGAATACTAACGCCAAGTGACAAAGGATTTTTAATGGCACACATTAATCACTCAAGTTATTTACAGAATTCTATTAGATTCTTTTCTTTGATACTGACTTTTTAGTGTAGTGTGTATTACAGATGAATAATTTCTAACTAAAGGTTACGTGTGAGCCCCCTACAAAGGTAGGTTCTGAAATGTAGAAAATTCTTATTTGCACAGAGGTCCAAGATAGCTGGTGGAACTGCAGTTTTGGCTTGGAAAATCCAGAGCCTGCCAAAAAAATATATTCACACTTCAGAAAAAGAAAAATTTGTATAAATATTTTAATACCAAACTTACTGAAATATCATGAAAATCCTAACATGCATGTGGACAGTCAATTTGCCAAAAGTCAATGTCTGGTGCATATTAAAATATTTTTAGAAGTTTTTCTTTTCCTGAAGTGTATACATTTTTTGGTATATCCACTGTAAATCTGTACAGGATGGAGATTTTACCTCCTATTCCAACTTCTGATAGCATAAGAAGTGTATAACCAGCTCACTGTTAATAGTTCAATGTTTGCTGTCAGTAAAATGACTGCAATATAAATTTTACATAGAAGCAATGTTTTGTAATTTTAGGTTGAATTCATGAAGACACATTACCAAGTCTGCAGCACCCCCCCCCAAATAAAACCAAACAAACAAAAAACCCAATTTCCAAAGTGACAATAATGATTGAGGGCAGTTTTTCTCTTTTGGAAAAATTGCAATCTTGCAAGCTTAAGACAACCATAGTAAAATTTTACCACTGTTAAGCCACTGAGTGATTCTGTAGTTGGGCAAGTTGAAATATTCAGCTCTTATGTCTGATAAAAATTCTGAGAACTGATAGAAGCAAACATAGTTCACTGTTGACACTGTGGTTCAAAGATATATGATAAATGCAAAGGTTTTCTGCAAAGTACCTGGCTGATGAATGATAAAATAACCATAAGGCTTAAAACACCACATATTTTCACACGCTTTGTAAATCAATCCAACTAAACCACCTTCTCCACATACATTTTCACCATTTCATTGCAACACATCTCAGCAGATTCTGCTGTAGTCTGTAATAAATTTGTGGTGTTTTGTTGCTGCAGTTGCTCCTGCAATAGTGTGTGTTACCCAGATTGGGGTCTAACTCATGATCCTCCCGCCTCAGCCTGCTGAGTAGCTGGGATTCCGGCATGTACTTTAACCTGTGTGAAAACATTCTTGTCTGTAACTACAAACAGGCTACTTGTGGGGCCAGCTGTTCAGTCACTTCAACCTTGGCACTGATTCCAAGCCAAAACCGAGCGGTATCAGTAACATCTGTCAACTCAAAAGCCAAGAAGATGCTTTGCTTCTTGACTACTGATACTGCTGTCGATGTCTTCAACTTGTCAAGCAGGTGTTGCTGATGGCCTCATCTTAAATGAGCTTATTTTTTCTCACACCCATGTCTCTGCACTGAAACATAGTTCAATTAAGCCATGACTGGTGTTTTCTTGCTTGGTTAATAAGCCACTTGGAAACTCACTTTTAAGATCTTCATTTCCATTTTTTAGTTTTGTAAAAAAATATTCTGCTACAATGAGATATTCCATTTTAAATTTTCTAATTTTTCTGAGAGGGGAATTATAGTGAGTACTCAGTTTGGAAATGTACACCCATAGCCATATAACTGCACAATAACCACAATGATTTCACACCTAAATTTTGAAAAACTATCCACATTCCACTGGGTTAAAAAGCATAATACTGAAGTCTTCTTATTTTGACATGACGAGGAAGCACTGGTAATTTAAAAAGTCACACTACAGTGACAAGTGTGGCACTTGCAACCTGTCAAATTATAGATGTATCATTGTGACTTGCAGGGTGAAGCCAGGACAGCACAACCCTGAGCCCTACTGCAACCACAAAGGCAGCAGGGCTGTGTCAATAAAACTGTGAGGACACTGAAAACTGAAGTTGACATAATGTTATATGTCACAATGTATTATTTTTCCAACCATTTAAAAATGAAAGCAATTCTTTTAAACATTCTTACCTCAGAGATCACTCAAAAGCAAGCAGTGGGTCATGGGCTATAGTTCATTGATTCTTGTCTGATAAATTATGTCTTTGTATATTTAACAAGATAAGGTACATTCAGATTGGAAGCCAAAGTGAAGGCTTATATTCATTTATACAGTAAGTATTGAATCTGTGAGATTCCTTATGTTTTATTAAAAAATTACTAATAAATTTCATGAAAGTCTGTCCACACTTGGTGCTGGACTGGGGCAGGGGATGTATGCTACAAACAAGTATTACTGAATATTGAATTAGGCAGGGGATTCAGAAGAGAAAACTACTATAGAACTTACATTTTAACTAATGCCATATATAACTGTGTCATCTGATTGCTTTTCTTTAGGAAAAGAATTACCAGATGGTATAACTAGCTTCATAAAAACACTTCCACTCTGCAATTTTATCCTGAGCTATATACTCTCAAATGTGTGAAAAGTGTGTTTATGCAGCATCAAAAGATTGCCAACAGGTCAGGCATTCATCACTAGGACACTGGTTAAATGTTACAAGATATGATTAAAAAAATGGTGAATTTTTTTTAAATTTAAAAAGGATGCATTGCCATTAACTTCCCCCAAAATACTCCTCTTCACTTTTAATACACTTATCCCATCGTTTTTGTCACTTGCTGAGGCAGCTGATGAAGTCCTCTTTCAAGAGGGGCTTAAATCGTATACTTAAGGCTGCCTCTGTGTCCTAAATCGATGCAAAATACCTTTCACTGTCACTTTGCCTTTGGGGAAGACCCAGAAGTTGCATGGTGTCGGATAAGTGAATAATGTGAATGAAAGCACACTATAACATTTTTACATGGCTGCCTTTTCGCCGGATGGCACTCAGTAGCTGTGTGCACTGTATTTTTTAATCTCACCTCATAAATACAAGAAAGAGAAATCTTAGAACTGCTTCAGAGTGGCAAGTATACTGGGGAAGCGAATTCTGAGGGGGGGGATTGAGGGGAATTAATAATAATGCGTTTATTGTAACAACCTTTTTATTTAAACACACATCAAAGTTTTTGATCAGCCCTTAGATGCTAACATTAGGGAATTCTAAATAACCAACAGAAAGTAAACCAAAAACAAGGAACTAAAGTTGAAGATCCCTAACCCTCACACATGTGCAGTGTCTGAAAAGGTGGAAAGGAATGAGCTATACATACACACAGCCACATGGATGACTCTCATGGTGAGAGAAAAATGCAAGTTTCAGACTAGAGATTGACATCTGTATCACATTTCAAACAAGCAAACTACCACTGTGCATTGTGGACAGAGATGTGTATGTAGAAAATTCCCAGGCCAAAGGTAAGCACCGAGCCCAGGACAGTGGCCTCCTTGCTCTTGAGTAGAAGAAGAGAAGCCATCTGGGAGGACACTGGATGAACAGATCTTAGGCTAGATGTGTACACATGGATATTCACCATATTATTTGTATATTGCTGTGCACCAAAATATTTAAAATATTTTAAATGTTCATGTTCTGTATGTATCTGTGTATTCTGTCCACTGGAAAAAAAAAGAGGCAGAACAGGGACACAGAACATGTTATCTATCATTTTTGTGTACTCAAATATTTTTCATGGGGCACAGAATACTTCTGAAAGGACAGAAAATATTACAGGACTGGCCACTAGGGGGCAGCTAGAGGGAAGGCAGGGGAGGCCTTGGTCTGTACAGTACTTGGAAACAGGCACACTTACTCTCTTTCCAAGTTAAGACTTTATCCTTAACCCCCCATCTTGGTAAATAAGTACTAAAAGTAAAGAAGAGCAACTGTGAAGGAGGAAACTGCCAAAGCTGTGACTGTATGCCAAATCAACTTTCCACTTTTTAAGATGATTTTTCTCAGGTGCTTTGTCACAGTGGTGGAAAGTTAACACACAACACCAAAGTATTGATCAGGAAGAAAAACAACAGTCAATTCTGCAGAGAAAATGGCTAGAAACATGGCTGCACAGAAAGGTAGGGGGCACCAACTAAAGCAAAAGTAGCTCAGGATTACAGAAATTAAAAGAGGGAGGGCCATAAGACATGAGGGTGGGTGGGAGCTAAGGAACCTGATAATAGAAAGTCACTAAGATGTCTGCCCAGGTCCACGCTGCGATATTTACACATTATGGTGGCAACTTCAGTGGCTCAGACACAGTTCCATGGGGTTCCCTCCCTAAAGACAAAGGGAGTATGGCACCCTCACGTGGTGACTCAGGACCCTCACAGGCAGGGAGAGGGTGTCTTGTGTGACTCCCATGGTTAGGCTCCAGCAGCTACAGACATGCCTATGTTACGGACACTGAGAGGAGATGGCCAGGCCAGGAGGCCATCAGGGTCAGTGGGCATCATGACACAGAAGGGAGGCAGGGACCAAAATGCAGGTTGTGGCATCCGGAATCCACCCAGAGAGAGAGAAAAAAAATGAGAGGCAGCTGAGGGCTGACCTGCAATGAGTGATAACAAGTACAGGGTGGATGAACAGCTCCTGTGGGCCAGGAAGACATGGATAAGCACTGCGTAACACATGGGAACAAGCCATACCAGGAGCACACTGGGGACTGCAACCCTCAAGGTGCTTAATGTCCAAAAAGCATTTAAAATAACTTTAGGAGTAATTCCAGAAAAAGGAAGGATATTTTACTCAAATAGATATTACCTATCCTGTAATAGCCATCTTCCAATCGTTTGTCTTTGGTTTCTTTGCTTATTTCCAAGCCTTTGCTCTAAAATAAAACAAAAATATTAATTTTACAAATAATTCTATTTATAACAAATTTAACTTATTAATACATCTTAATATAAATGATTAAGTGTGTCCCAGCTATCTCTAAAAAGAAAACTGAGCTGCCACTTGTCAATGAAAGTTTTTTAAATGATCATCTGAATTTGTACATAATGTAATGATAGCTGAAAAATGAGAAACTGTCCATTTAACAGATACCATTTCCTATTAAAAACATACAGAAAAATAAATACAGAGGTAAGGAACTGTGTTAATGTGAAAGAAACCTAACTAAGCATTTTTCGTAGATCAACAGAATTTTGTACACTTATTAACAGGTATTAAATGCTTACGTAGTACTTTGGGACTCAAAATACAAACAGCGAGTAAACACTAAAGTAAAAATAATGATTTTTAAAAAATAAGCATTCGTTTTTAGCACAAACTTCCCATTTGTTTTTCAACAGAAAACAAAATGAAGGCCATCTCTATGAATCAGTAAAATGGGCCAATATACTGGGTATACTGTACCTCAAAAGATTAATATTACCTATGAGTGGAGTCCTACAAATAAGGAGACTTTTCTTTCATCTTATAAACAGGCTTCAAACCAAATCCCCTGGGAGTAGCTCTCAGGGGAGGGTCAGGGAAGGGACAGCCGCACCTTTAAAGGCAAAACATCCACAGTGGTGTTCAGCAGGATGTCTCCTGGGTGCTCCCGGTTGCCACTGTGGAACAAGTAACTGAACACAAGGACACAAAATAAAAATAATGTCAGACTAGGTTTCACCAGGATGTAAGAAAATGACCTCAACTTAAAACAGTTCGAATCACTCTGGACTCAAATCACACAGCCATTCGACCTTGCCGCAGCTGTGTGTGGATTCTGCACAGCAGCAGAGAAACTTAGGGCGCCACCCCGGGCGATGTGTTCATCCTTCTGGTCAGCATCAGCCCACCTGCTGCTTAACATAACCCCAGACTACAGAAAATGGCAGTGGTTTCAGGACACTGTTTGCAATGCTTCAGAAACAAACACCACTGCCCAGGAGTAGCCCAGTGTAGCACGCACGTGTGCTGTGACCCCGGATGAGAGAAGGCATTCCCTGGGACATCCACAAATCCTTTTAATAGCAGCAGAATGAAACTGAATTAACTTCCTCCAAAAATCTGAATAGTTCTATTAGTCACTATTAGAAACCATTTGAAGGATGACTAACTACATGATACACTGTGATACATCTAGAAAACTCTCTGGGTGTTGAGTATAAAGTTCTTGCATTTTGCCACTCTAAAAACTAGTGATTCAGTGTAGTGTGTGGAAAGAGTGTGAACCAGAGAGACAATGTATGTGTTAATCTAAAGCTAATTTAAATTTAGTTACATTAACTAGCTAAAAGTTTAGGCTTAAGAGCTAGGAAGACCTGGGTCCGTCATTTACAAGAGCTTTCACTTCTGGCCAGTGTCATGAGCTTCCCACGCCTGAGTCTCCTCTGTCCAATGCTGGTATCTTCACCTACCGCACGTGACTGTCCCATGCAATTCATAAGAACTGGTGAAAAGCACCCAGTATATTTCAAACACTCCACCAAGTATGTGCAACAGTAGGGTATGCATGGCAAAAATCACACATGATGAGGATGTCAACAGGACAGAGAACCCTGAAAAGAGGTTCTTTCTACCCTACACTAGAAATTACTTCCAATATTTTAGGAAGGCACACTTGATTTGGAATGCTGGGTTCACAGACAACAGGTCATTCACTCTCTCAGCTAAGTAGGTCAAAGCACAGGGCCAGGCAGGCTGAAGTGAGAAAAGAGCACATGAATATAATCTGGAATGTGGATGGATTCAGAGACGTTCATCCTGTGATTATTCACAATGAAAACTTCAACACCACCTAGAAAGAACAGCATTAAAGTAAATAATGGGATCTACGTGGCCACAAAATGCTCCTGATGGAGTACACTGGAAAATCACATAGGGACTATGATCCAAAGTAGAAAGTATGCATAAATACCTAGAAAAAATGCGCCAACATGGTCACAGTGGTGTCCACGAGGTTGATTTTTCTCCTTATTCTTCATACTTTAAATGTGTATCATGAACAGTATCAGAAAATATAATACTTCATATCTATACTGAGAAATACAAGTTTGGCTCTGAGCCAATAAATAATTGTGGAAATCAAAAAGTAATTCCCTTTGTCCGTCCAAGGAAGGGTAGATATTTCCATATACTCTGAGAAAATTCATAGATACAACTTTAGAAAAATGTGTTCAACTAGAAATGTGACTCCAATTTACAGTTGTACCCTCATTTAGATATTATCTTAGAGACATTTACTATGAAAGCATTTGTAAAAAAATTGATTTCTAATATAGAAGTTCTTGGGCAGACTCTTAAAGAGTCTGTCTACCTCCCTCCCCCGTATATCTTCTTTCACTAACCACAGAAGTAAAGTGCTCACTGGAACTTCCACTTCTGAGAAGTTGGTATAGGAGGATCACAGGTTCACGTCTAAGCAACTTAAACTGTCTCAAAAACAAAACAAAACACCCAAAAAACTGAAAAGGGCTGAGGGTGCAGCTCAACAAAAAGGCCTTCAGTTCATTCCCTAGTACTGAAGGGTAAAAAAGAAAGATTATGGAAGATTGAAAGAAGAAAGACTAGCTAAGGACTTCGGGATCCAAGGAACAATGTGGTGGTGAATTTTTAAATTTTCTTTCACCTCATACATTTTAGATGTGGAGCTGGAGACATCAGCCTGGAAATGCCCATGGGAGTAGACATTGGAGCCTCACACCAAGACTATTCAGTGGAGCCCAAGGATCAGAAAAGGAAAACAGTTTTAGACAGTAACTGCTCCATGCCAGCCAATACCACAGAAAAACAATGTGGTCCACTCTGACTCACTGAGTGAGGAGCAGACATGGCTATCCTCAGTGGGCTGCGACACAGCACTCCAATCCCCGCCTGGGGTTGTGTCACCTCAGGCTGGATGGGGAGTGGAGACTTTCTTTCCTATTGGGCAATGTCACTGGAGAACACAGGGCAGACAGTAAGGGTGGCATCACAGAGGTCTACTGGGGGCCAGCACCCTCACCCCATCTGGCAGAAAGAAGGGGCCCTGTGTTGTCTTCCAGTGTCAACAAGAGACAAGCAGAGAAACCCAGCTCTCCCCACCTGGAAGCAAAGAGGCTGCAGTACCTCTTCCAGTAGGAACCATATCAAGGAAGCCAGCAAAGGACCAAGACGCCCAGGCTTTAATCTGAAAGAACTACTCATCATACAAAAACAAGAAAAATCGACTGAGTTAAAAAAAAATAATCAACAAACACCACCAACAAGTCAGAGATGCTAGAATTACCTGGAAAAAAATTCTAAGCAGCCATCATAAGAATGCTTCTACAAGGAAGTATAAACATATTTGAAACAAGTGAAAAATCAGAAGTCTCCAAGAAACAGAAGATACAAAGAGCCAAGTGGAAATTTTAGAACCACAAGAAACCAAAACAGAAATTCAAGGGATGGACTAAACAGCCAAGTTGAGGGGGAATCGCCAGAGGCAATGAATGTGAGGGTGGAACAATAGAAACTGCTCAATTTGAAGAACAGAGAGAAAACATCAAGAAAAACAAAAATGAAGAGAGCCTTAGAAACCTGGGAGACTATGGACCATGTCTTTGGAGTCTCAGAAAAGAGAAAGTGTTGGGGCTAAAGTACTAGAAGATGTAATGCCAGTAATTTGAACAACCCTACAACCATTAAGAAAATTAACCTCACAAGAAATCCACAAATTATTCACTTCCAAACACTCTATTCATCCAGAGTAGCTATCTGGGATGTCTGTTCTCTGTCTTTCTTCCTCCTTTTCTCCCACCTTCACATAAACCATCTTCTTTTATTTAAAAAAATAAAATTAAATTTATAAATATAAAAACTTCCCCAGAAGAAATCTTAAGAACTGTATCTCCAGATGTCAATGGAGAATTCCATAGGATATTTAAAGAACGGACACCAATCCTACACAATGTCTTCCAAAAAGTAGGAGGAAATGCTTTTCAAATTCATTTTATAAAGCTACTTGACACCAATCCAAGTAAATCACAAAAATATTATAAACCAATACCCCTTATACATAGGGACACACAAATTATTACAATATATTTGCATATAAAGTCAACAATATATAAAAAGTTACACATTATTGCTGAGTGTATTCTAGGGACACCAAGCTGGTTTCACACTAAAAAAAAAATCAATGTCAACCATATTAATAAACTAAAGAAAAATTGTATGATCATATCAACTGATGCAGACAATGAATCTGAGAAATTCAAAACTCGATAAAAAAACTAGGAACAGAGTTGCAACATCTTCAGTTTGATAATAAGCTTGCATAAAACACTACAGCTAACTGTACAGTTAATGGCCAAACACAAACTAGTATTTCTCCCTAAGGTCAAGTATAAAAAAGGATGCCCACTCTCACCTCTCCTCTTATTCAACATTATATTAAAAGTTCTAGCCTGGATAGTAAGAAAAGGGAATAAAAGGCACACAGCTTGGGAAAAAAGAAATAAAACTGTCCCTATTTGCAGATGACAAGACTAAGTAAAACATTCCCCCCCAATTCCTAAAACTAATAAGTGAGGTATCAGGATACAAAATCAACATGCAAAAGATCAATAGATATTCCCATAGATGTCAAAAAACAGAGAGCTACATCTATCAAGTATGCCATAGGCAGTCTGGGAAACACACTCAAAACTGAAGAAGAGTTGAAGGAATCATGGTTATTAAGTTTAAAAAAGAGAGAAAAAGTACTAAATTTTTTGTGTGTGGTTTTTTTTTCTCATTTTTTCCCCATGTTCCTGCCCTCCCTTCACCCTCTAAAAGTACTAAATTTAAAAAAATGAATGTGAATGCCACAAAACATGAAAGTATTGTATAGTCCTCCATAGTATACTAAAAATAATCCAGTATTTGCAAAGCCACTGACTTAGAATAGTCACAGTATGTTAAATTTATCCACTTAATTGTTGAGTTAACTAGCTCTCAGTGAAATTTTAAGGAATATTCTGCGATAAGGACATGAAAACACTGGAGATTTTGAGAATGTTTTAAATAAAAGAATTTTAAAATTATGCTAAATATAAGTCCAGAAATACCTACAGAATTTACCAAATATGTTATGATGATATTTCACATTAGGTGTTTTTTACAGTACAACATTTGCAACCCATTTCTCCTCACATTTGACAGGCACAAAAAACATCTAGCACAAATCACATCATGAATAAGAGAACTACATTCTAAGACCAAATATATTTCAATAGTCACCAACCTTTCTACATTGACTGGCTTATCAAATTTAAACAAGATGTAGTCTCCAGCATTTGGGGTTATAGCCCAGAAGAAATCTTCCCCCATATAAGTTTTCTCCAGTGTGTGGCCCTGGTAAACCTTCAAAGAAGTTGATACCTCCGCAGGTGGGTTTACATGGATTTTAAGAAGCAATGGTTTCATGTAATCTTTATCCTAGAAAAAAAGATTATATATAGTATTAAATACATACAATTTATTTATATTTGAGAAGAAAAACAACAGTAACACACTAAATAATAAATTGTACATCTGCGAGAAAATAAAATTAAACCACCAACCGTGAGTTTCTGAATTTTTCCCGACAGTGATGAGTGAAAACCAACATGCTGGAAAAGGGAAGGTCTGAAGCGAATTCGCAGATTTGCTTTCTGTCTATCACAATGTTTCTAAACAGTTAAAAAAAAAATCATATCATTTTTACATAATAAAGTAAAATCTTGTCCTTATCGGGAAAAAATAATACAAATAATAATAATTCCAACTCATGAGGCATTAAGAGACTTCTATCTTATTTTTTTGTTTTTTGGTACCAGGGGATTGAACTCAGGACCCTGAGCTTGCAAGGAAAGGGGTGGCACCACTGAGCTAAATCCCTGGCCCTCCTATCTTCTTGATCAACAGTGATGATCTGGAAACTGAAAATTTTCAAGGAAATAAGCCACTGAAGAGGGTAGAATTTAGTTTCAACCATCCTTCAAGATACCTCAATGTAGATTTGACATTTAAGATTAAAATGCACAAACTATCACAGTTTGATTCAAATATTCAAATTATCTTAATTGGATAACAAAGAATTTGCAAAATAATAAAAAGCAAATTTTGGTGCATGAAGCAATTTGAAAATGTAAGGCAAGAGATGCTAAAAGGTCCATGGACAAATCCACCTCAACAGTTAGGAGACACACCTGTGTTCCCATCCCCAGGGCCTGCAGGGGGCCTGGTCATGCTTCAGGAGAGACAGGGCTAGCTTAACACTTTTCAAACTCTTTGTTTTCAATGGCTCATATGAGTTTGGGGCCAAAAAGTGAAAAAGACTTATTTTTAAGATATTTCCCCTTTGGGAGACCACCTGCCTGCGGGAGCCATGGCCCAAGAGATCTGGACACCACACGGCAATGTGCCAGAGGTGGAGCGCAAAAAGGTCATTGTTCTGAGCTGGGGAGGCAGTGGATGGGTGAGCAGCAGAGAGAGGACCTCTCCATGGCTTGGTGTCCAGAATTGAAGCCCACTGGGAGAGCAAAGAGAGAGACAATGGAATAAAGACGCAGCAGAATGCTGCAGTTGGTGAGCTGGTGGTATCAGCACCTCCTACTGGAGCCCAGGCTTACTGCAGGGGAAGGGTGGCTCGAACCGGCAGTCAGACCATGCAGCATTCAAACCCAAAAGGAGCTCAGGGTGCTCAATTCTAGGCTTGCAGCCAGAAAGCAGCCTGAACTCCAGTGGACTACAGCTGCCTTGCTGGTATTAATCAACTCAGATCTGTATTCTACCAGTGACAGCAAAGACATGCCTTGAAGAGGAGGGACTTTTTTTCATTTTTCCCCCTTTGCTTTTCTCTTCTTGTTTTTGTCCTTTTTCTTTCCTCGATTGTTCTCACTTTTACAGAAGTGTGAATACCATTTTTAACTGTCTTATTGTTGTTGTTTTGTTCTATTTTTATTTCCTTCTCTCTTTCCCTCCTGTTTTCCCCAGTTTCTCAAAGTTTGCAAATCCTCCCTTTATCCTTTAGCCTTACTTCTAATCTTTTCCTCTCCTTCTATTTCTCTACTCTCTCCAACTTCTTCTAAATTTTCTTCCCAGAGGGTAAATTCACTATATTGAGGACTTATTTACTATAAACATATTTTTGATTTTATTATATAACCATAAATCTAGTTCATACAGTTAAAGGTGGCAAATTAATAGTTACCAGTTTGTAATTTTCTAGGCTGTGTCTGATGCTATTATTGATGCTGACTGACATCATAATTCTAAGCAGTTGTTCTTCCTGGTATACCAAGATTGAAATCACCTAAGAATCATAAAAAAATACTACAGGCCAGTGACAAAGAATCAGGGGCTAGGCCAAGTAGGCAGCAAGCTCTCACCTCTGAAGAGGTAGGATCCTGCAACAGACTCAAAACCCAAAAGCCTGCTATACCTGGAAGGTACCTCTGAGAAGTAATCATCTCCTAAGGGTTCTAAATACTAGCAATAAAGACACTTACCATAAGCAATCTAAAAGCATCAGCCCAGGAATTAAATCAAAAACATCAGTAACAAAAAAACAGAAATGAGAAGACACCTAAACAAGATGCAAACCCAGACTTCCAGCTCACCAAAGGCAAATTCAGGTGGCAATGAGGTGGCACTTTCAATGGAACGTTTAATCCCTTTAATCCCAAAAGTCAACCACCTGGACTCTCTGAAGTGGTAACAATGGAAGTAACAAAGCAGATGAAAGAGGGTTTGGAAAAAAATCAAATCAGAAATAATTTCTCAGATAACTACAGAGATGGTAGCCATAATAAAAGACATGGCTAGTAACTCTCGAGCAGATACAGACGAAACAATAGAGGAGATAAAGAAAATGATGGAAACCATGAACATCCAGCATAGGAAAGAAATGGAGCCCATGAAATACATCTAAGCAGATATCTAAGAGATTAAAAATTCCATTGGAAGTATCAGAAACACAAGTAAATGTAAAGACAGAATTTCTGATACAGAAGACGAGATTGTGACTAGCAAATAAGAAAAGAAAGATTTCTTAAAAATAGCAAAAGACCCTGAAAAATCAATCCAACAGCTGCTAGATGATGCAAAATAGAATAATTTAAGATTGACTGAAGTCAGTGAAGGAGGAGATAATGCCAAAGGTATAAAAAAAAATATTCACAGAAGCAACTGCAGAAACTTACCAAACAGGAAAAAGAATTAGACAGAACTCCAACTGGCTGTGATAAAAAACAATCTAGATCTAGCCATATAATAGTCAAGATTCCAGAAATCCAACACAAAAACAAAATAATAAAAGGTTTAGAGAAAAGAAATCACATATAAAGTAAAGCCCATCAGAATCACAGACAGACTTCTCAACACAAACCATCAAGTCAAGTAGAGCCCGGAACTTGACGAATACCAAACTAGCACTCCACAATATTCTGAAGGGTATCCTAGAAAGAGACAATGAGGACTACCTCCAAGAGAATGAATCCATCAGGCAAGAAATTAAAGGGGAGGGAGAGAGAGCCAACAACAGGAAAATATCATGACAAGGATACGTCAATACATATCAGTTATAACCAGCAATGTTAATGGTCTCAGTTCAACAACCTAAAGAAACAGAGAGGCAGGATGGATCAGTAAGCAAGATCCACCAATATGCTGCATACACAAGCACACTTAATTAAAAAAGAAATTCACAGATGGAAAGTCAAAGGATAGAAAACAATATTCTATGCTACAAGAACCCAGAAAAAAGCAGGGGTAGTTCTTCTATTTGTAGACAAAGTGGATTTCAAGCCAAGACTAAGAGAGACAAAGATGGTCACTGCATTTTTGTAAAGAAAACAATCCAAAAGGAAGAGATGACAGTCATAAATACATGTGCATCAAATACTACTGTACCAACTGTATAAAACAAATATTAATGGACATGAAAAATCAAACAACCACTAATATGGGGGACCTCAATATCCCACTGTCACAGACAGATCAACTAGGCAAAAAAATCAATAAAGAGTAGAACTGAACCAAACTTTTGAACAAATGGACTTAATAGATGTCTACAGTGTTCCACCTGCAAAAAAATCAATAAAGAGTAGAACTGAACCAAACTTTTGAACAAATGGACTTAATAGATGTCTACAGAGTGTTCCACCCCACAACAACACAATACACATTCTTCTCAGCTGTACATGAGTCGGTCTCCAAAATAGACCACATGGTAACTTATACAACATGCTTAAGTGTAAAGGAATTGAAGTTATCCCATGCATATTATCAGACCACAGTACAATGAAATTAGAGAACAGTAGCAAAGAAATCAGAAGAACTTCATGAACAATGGAAATTAAATAACATCCTCCTGAATAACAAATAGGTCACAGATAAAATTAAAGAAGAAATTAGACAGTTTCTACAATTAAATGATAATGCCAATAAAACATACCAGAATTTATGGGACACAATGAAAGCAGTTCTACAAGGGAAATTCATAGCAATGAATAGCCATATTAAGAAAACAGGCTGAACTGAAATAACCCAATGTTGAACCTCAAGCTTCTAAGAGAAAAAAAATAAAAAGCAAGATAAACCCAAAGCTCATACAAGGGAGGAAATTATAAAGATCAGAGCAGAAATTAATGCAACAGAGACTAAGAGAACATTACAAAAAAATCGACAAATATAAGAGTTGGGTCTTTGAAAAAAATTAAAAATTGACAAACCCTTAGCTGACCTTTAAAAAAAAAAAAAAGCAAAAGGCTTAAATCTATGCAATTAGGAATGAAAAGGGTGAAATTACAACAGATTCTATAGAAGTCTGGAGGATCATTAATATATACTTTGAGAATCTGTATTCTAATAAGATGGAAAACAGAAGAAATAGGCAGATTCCCAGATACATATAAATTGCCAAAGAAGAATCAAGAAGATAAAAAAGTTTTAAATAACCCAGTATCAGTCAATGAAATTGAAACTGTAATTAAATACTTACCAACAAAGAAAAAGCCCAGGTCCTGATGGCTTCATTGTTGAATTCTACAAGAATTTTAGAAAAGACCTAATGCCACTACTTCTCAAACTCTTTAATGAAACTGAGAGGGAAGCAATACTCCCAAATTCATTCCTGGAAGCAAGCATTACCTTGATTCAAAAAGCAGAGAAACACCCAACCAAAAAAGAGAACTATAGGCCAATCTCCATAATGAACATAGATGCAAAAATCCTCAATAAGATACCAGCAAAACAGAATGCAGAAGATCATCAAGATCATATACCCTGATCAAGTGGGATTCATCCGAGGAAGGCAACAATAGTTCAACATACATAAATCAATAAATGTAATACACTATATTAACAGAGTCAAGAACAAAAACCATATGATTATCTCAATAGATGCAGAAAAAGTGTTTCACAAAGTCCAACACCCATTCATGATAAAACCTTACAGAAAATTGAAATAGATGGTCTTTATATGCACCTGATAAAAGCCATCTATGAAAAACCAACAGCCACCACCATACTAAATAGGCAAAAACTGAAATCTTTCATGCTAAAATCAGGAACAAGACAAGGATGTCCACTATTACCACTCTTTTCTATATAATTCTGGAAACATTAGTCACAACAATTAGACAAAAGAAAGAAATAAAAGGAATAAAAATAGAAAAGGAAGAAGTTAAACTGTCACTATTTGTGGATAACATGATACTTTATATAGAATACCCACAAAACCCTACCAAAAGACTTCTAGACTTAATAGCCAAATTCAGTAGAGTAGCTGGATACAAGGTCAACACTCAAAAATCAATAGCCTTTCTGTTACATGAATGACAGACTCACTGAGAGAGGAATTGGGAAAACAAGGTCTTTCACAATAGCAGCAAAAGAAAATGAAATACCTAGGAATCAATCTAAGGCAGGAAGTAAAAGACCTCTACTTTGAAAACTATAGCACACTGAAAAAAAGAGATCGAAGAAGATATCAGAAAATGAAAAGCCATCCTTTATTCTTGGGTGGGAAGAACCAATATAAAGAAAATGGCCATACTTCCAAAACTGTTATATAGATTTAATGCAATCCCAGTCAAAATTCCAACAGCATATCTCACAGAATTGGAGAAAACAATTCTAAAATTCACTTGGAACCAGAAGAGACCTAGAATACAAAGGCAATTCTAGGCAACCAAGGCAAGGCAGGGTGCATCACAATCCCCAACTTGAAATTATACTGCAAAGCTACTGTGATAAAAACAACATGGTACTGGCAAAAAAGAAAAAAATAGAGCCAAGGATCAATGGAACAGAACAGAAAATGCAGAACCTACTCCACACACACTATATCCACCTCATCTTTGACAAAGGAGCAAACCATCCTTACTGGAGGAAAGATAGCCTCCTTAACAAATGGTGCTAAAAAAAATTGGTTCTCAACTTGCCAAAGATTAAAACTAGACTCATATCTTTCACCACACAATAAACTAACCAAAGTGGATCAAGGATCTAAATATTAAAACAGTAACACTAAACCTGCTGGAACATAGTTTAGGCAGAACTGTTGAAAACATTTGTGTAGGAAAAGACTTTACGAAGAAAAGCTCAGTTGCATGGGAACTATTACAAAGAATCAACAACTGGGACCTCATCTTATTAAAAAGCTTTTGAACAGCAAGAGAAGCCACCAACAGAGTGAAGAGAACCCACAAGGTGGGAAAAAATTTTGTACAAGCTGTTCCTCATGCAAGGACTACTATCGCGAATATATATATATATAAAAAAAAAATCAGACCCCCCCCATTTAAAGACCCAATCCAAAATTGGCATCAGAAATTAACAGATGCTTCTCAGACAAAGAAGTAAAAACAGCAAATAAACATATGAAAAAATGTTCAACATCCCTGGTTATTCATAAGATGCAAATGAAAACAATAGTGATACTCCATGTCACTCCAAAAAGAATGGCTGCTATCAAGAAATCAACCTATCATAAATGATAGTGGTGCTGTGAGGAAAAGGCATCCTTCTCTCCACTGTTGGTGGGAGTATAGACTGCTGCAACCACTGTGGAAATCAGTGTGCAGATTTCTCAAAAAACTAGAAGTCCCATTTGACCCAGGTATTTACCTGATGGGTATCTTTCCAAAAGAATTAAAAGCATCAGACTACAGCAATATATGCACACCCATGTTTATAGCAGCACAGTTTGTAATAGCTAAATCTTGGAAACAGCCCAAATGCCCAGCATCTGGTGATTGAATAAAGATGAGGTGGTCTTTTTATAAAATACTCAGCCATAAAGAAAAATAAACTAGAGTAATTTATAGCTAAATGGATGCACACCTAAAGTGAAATAAATAGGACACACATGTGTATTGCTTCTCTGATGTGAGAAACTGAAGTGTAAATGAGGACCAAATGTATAATAGATATTGCAAAATAGGAAGAAAATGTTCAAAGGGGAACAGGAACAGGGGAAGGAGGGAGAAAAAAACAAAAGAAGGAAAAAATGGAAACAAAGCTTTTGTAAATGGGAGGGGTTGCAGGGAGGGAAGGAGAATAGAAAAAAACAAGAATCAAGATATATCGTGTACAGGTACAAATTTCCTATGATGAATGTGATTATGTATACCTAAAACGTACTAATAAAGTTAATGAATTTTTTAAAAAGTCGGGCCAGGAATTTAAACTTAGTGGTGTCACCATTTGCCTCACAAGTGGAAGGTCCTAAGTTTGATCCTGGTATCACAAAAATAAAATAAATTTAAAAAGGCATTAGAGGCAGAATTAGACTTTCACATTCAGTGATTACTTAGGACTGTCCTAGGTACTCAATCACGGAGTTTTTTATCCATAATAAAGCAATTAGCATAGAAACAAAAAGATATTTTCCCTTTAGAAGACTTAAAATCACTGGGTACTAAAATGCCTAATTCTTAAGGGATTATATGTCATCCGTATTTAACAATGCTAATAACAACACAGACATGAAACACTGCATTTTATTTACACAAATAGGAGGAGGTGAGAGGAGGAGTAAAGGAACAGGGAAAGCGAAGAGGAAGATCAGCCTGAGGGGGACAGGAAAACTGGAAATGGAGAGAGGACCTACGAAGTGACAACACTGTCTGGGACCCAGCCCATCACTACAGAGGCAATGTGGCCTTCAGCAGGATGGCGCAATTTTGGGAGAAATGTGGATGACCTGAAGTGTTTCCCACACCACTGTCTAAGAGAGACTATTCAGTGTCTCTAAGGAATGATGGCCACATTCTCAAACGGCTTAGAGGAGGCAACTGAAGAATTGGGGGCCACAAAGAAACAGACTGAGGAAGAGTGAAGGAACACAGGACTGTCCAAAGGGTTGTGCCCTCAGGCCTATGGATGATTCTAAAAGTTTTTTGCTGTTTTAATTTTCACCATCAGCGTTTTGTACCACACAGGCTCATTTTACAGTCTTACCACATAATAGGTAAAATTACACAGGATGAATTATAGGCAAGTACAGGCAGCAGGAGACTAAATAAAGATGACTAAATTTTCTGTGTCCTACAATAAAAATTTCTGTAAGTCTACAAGAAAATACATGCGAGGGTTTAGATCTTAAAATTATTTGTTCAAATGAATTTACTAGGAAGTGTTTTGTTTTGTTTTGTTTTCCTGTACCAGAGATCAAACTCGGGTCCTTGCACTTGCGAAGCAGGCGCCAGAACACTGAGCTAAATCCCCGGCTGTTCAAATCAATTTATATGGTCAAGTACTAATGTTTCCATTATGCATATATTCTATTTTGCTGTATTCCCCAATTAGCTTTAAGAATGTGTTGTCTGGGGTTTTGGGTGGTTGTTTTCAAACAGAGAATGCAGCGATAGCTCACAGACCAAGGGAGAATTTGAAATCTCACTGGCAGGTAGGACAATCATAGCATTCTAGGAAATATAATTCAGTCAGTCAATTACACAAATGCTTATTATTACAATGAATGATAATTTAACCCTATAAACATATGCTTAAATGTTTATTCATGACTATGTGTCAAAACTGAGAATCCTTAAGTATTTTCCTCCAAGAAGTACAATTCATATTGAACAAGGAAATATATCTAGTAACTTTACACTACAATTTCTTTGCAAATAATCTGCTGTCTGACTGACCAAGCAAAAATTATTCTCTTATTTACCTGCCAACTCTGCCTGAAGTTTCTTGAAAATAATACACAAGACAGACTTTGACTTGTTTGGGTATACAATGGTACTTCTATTTTATTTCCTATTTCTAGATGGGCTAGAGCCTAATATTTTCGCAAATATTTGCTAGAAACTGAAACCACCCCCCGTGGGACAGGGCTGCCATTTTCTACAGCCAACAGCAGCAGATCCCGAAGCCACAGAGGCTAGTGATACAGAGCAGCTACGTGGAGACAGACAGGGCGCAGGGCTGCAGCGGGCTGCCCGGCTTGCAGGGCCCTTTCCAGGCTGATGATGCCTCTGGACTGGGGCACCTGTGCAGCTTGGGAAGTCAACGAGCACCTGAGAAGCAAATGGAAAGCTATTTCCTCTCAGCTGCCTTGATGAAGCGCAAAAGGGGGCTCCCATAAGCCACTTTCATAGCCAGACAGAAGAGAGGCTCCCTGTGCCCCAGGAGGAATGGACTTACTGCATCTTTCTCGGGATTGCAGACTTTCACCCAGAGGATGTGGTCCAGGAGCCAGTCGATGGGCTTCTCCCTATAGAACATAAATATGAACTCCACAATCAGAGTGAGGTCCGGTGCCTGGAACATTTTACCTGGAAAGATATTCACAGTCAAGAGCTGCAATAATGAAGAAACCAGTCATCAGTGGCTTCAACAAGGGCAGTCAGTCCCTAATGCTCTAAAGGTTGTGCGCTCAGCCCTAAAACATCATGAGTAATGTCCGCACTTGTGTTATCTGCAGAGTCAGACCTGCTTAGCCACACACTCCCGCTCTGCACGGCAAGGCACAGGTGATGAAGGCTGCACACCGACACAAAGGGGTCTCCTGTGCAGCTGCTGGCTCAAGGGACTCACAGACCAAGTCAGATTTTTCTTGCATGTCTAAGATCCCTCCCACAAAAAAAAGAATGTGAGAGAAATATATAGATCCTCTCAATAAACACAAATGGACATATATATAAACCAATAAATGCAGAAACTCCTAAATTTGCCTTCATCAAAACTTCACAGGTAAAGCTGGGCATGGTGGCACACACCTGTAATCCAAGCACTGGGGAAGCTGAGGCAGGAGGATCTCTGTGAGTTCGAGACCAGCCTGGGCTACAGAGTGAGTTCCAGGTCAGTCTCGACTACATAGTGAGACCCTGTCTCAAACCCCCCCCAAAAAAAAACTTCACAGGTAAAAATGTTTTTTAAATTTAAAAAATTATTTTTGTAGTACTGGGGATTGAAGCAAGGGCCTTCACACTGACCACTGACCTACATCCCCAGACCTTTTTATTTTTTATTTAGAGGGAAGGTCTCAATATAATGCCCAGGCAGGACTTGAACTTGGGATCCTCCTGCCTCAGCCTCCCAGAGTGCTGGGATTATAGGTGTGTGCTATACATCTGGTTTAAAATAAGCTTTGAGGTCAATAAGGTCAGTGGTTCAGCCTCTAATATTTCATTTTTGTTGTTGTTGTTTGCTTTTTTGAGGCAGGGCTTAACTATGTAGTACAAGATGGCCTTGAACTCAGTGATCCTGCCTCAGCCACCTAAGTGCTGAGATTTCAGTTGTGTGCCACCACACCCAGCAACATTTTTTAAAGTAACACAGGAGTAACACTGAGTGTTTTTTTAACTTGTAAATCTGTCAGCTCTTTTCCACTGGCTAATTTAGGAACATCAGCCCAAAAAGAGATTTTAAAAGAAGCACCTCAAATAGTTAATTAAAGAAGTGGATAAAAAATCATAGAATCATAGAATCACAATCATAGAATGTGAGGTTCAGGCCCTGCCTGAGAATAATGGGAATTCATATGAGAAACCTTTCTTCTGTATTTTTCTTAAATGTATCCCCACCCTGGGTAATGCAGGACCAGCAGGGGTCAGAAGAAACCAGGCCTTTCTCCAGGCCAGGCGGGCCCTGGATGTCTCCAGAGTAAACGGCTCACCTCAGCTAAGTGCAATTTTCTCAAGAACTGTCCATTTCCACAGGAAAAAATACCACTTTGTGGCCACAAAAAGCAAATGGTTTAAGATTCTGAATGTCAGTTATTTTCGAAAAGTGGATAGATATGGAGCTTTTCTTACCAATGAAGCCCAGCTGGGAAAACTCCAGAATCATCCATTCCTCAGAAGAAAGTTGAAGTGCAAAATTTTTGATAGTATTAAAATAATTCTGCTTGACGATGATATCATCTTCAAGCTAGAAAAAAATTGAACGATCATATCAAAAACAGGAGGAAAGATAGTACCTTTAATGAGAAGCTTAAGCACTTTCATAAGGAAGATGAAGAAAACAATGAAAATAAAAAAATAAAGGTTATCAACAGGAAATAGGGAAAATAAAAGCTATGCTTCCCCTTGCTGTGGGAAATAAAAGAATTCCATGAATTACGCCTTTTTTGGTCCTTTTATAGTATTCAACATAATTTTACATTTGTCTCCTTTCTAAAGGAAATAATCTTTGTGGATTTTTAAAAATGTTTTTTTTTTTTTTTTTTTTTTTAACACACTACCTATAGCTAGTCACAGAGACCTAAAGCAAGCACAGCGGCTCCTCCTCCATCCCAACACTAGAAAAGCCAGGTGTGGCCAATACAAAGCCTTCCACATCCTCCACACTGCATGGGGGATACACAAGGTATGAGGTGCCCATGGCACACTCCACGTTGGAGAGGGTTGTTTGATCCCTTGCAGTGCTGGCCACTGACCCCAGGGCCTCGTACATGTCAGGCAAATGCTCCTGTATCCCCCTCACATTTTTAGAAAAAGGGTTTACGCTATGAAACTGGCTCTTTCCTCTTAATATAGCAGGTTAAAAATCCATCCTAGGCATGTTCAACCCATGCTGTGGCCCAGTACTGGGGGAGAGAGCTCCTCATTTTTTTTTGAGTGGAGAGGAATTGTCTTGGGCCACATACACAATATGTAAAATAGTTAATGCACATGAAAAAATTCCTTTTAAAATATTTGTATTATAACATTTTTAAAATGAGGGCAGCCCAGCCTGTTGGCACACATCCATAATCCCAGCACTCTGGGAGGCTGAGGCAGGAAGATAAAAAATTCAATTCCAACCTGGGCAATTCTGAGATGCTGCTCATTGCAGGCTGTGGGTCCAGTTCCTAGCAGTGAAAAACAAAACAACAAAACCAAAACCATGTCTGCAGGCTGGATATGCCAATATGACAACAGATGCATGATGCCAGGGTACAGCCAGTGCCCTCAGATCTCCTGCTCATGGGAGATGGTCAGGTACATGTTGGTTCCTATACCTGCCCGTGACAGTCTCAAACGTTCCCTCTGCCATTTTAACAGGCTCCTACAAAATACCCAGGAAGCCTGGCAATTCGCCCGGTGTCAGCTAACTGTGTACTATGCCAGTGCCCTGTGCCATCTGTGCTTGGCTTTTCTTCTAGGCCACCAGGGAGGGGACAAGTCAGGGTCCTGGACAGGCAGAGGCTCCTCCCCAGAGGCCCCTCTGTTCTCATTTTAAAGCCATAAGAGCCTTTTAATGTTTTTCTTGTCTTAATTTCACTCTATCACTTCTCATTACCTAGGTAATTTTTCTTTGCATTTGATTATTCACCTTTTTCATTTTTAGTGGTACATTTTAGGGATACAGTCCAGTTACATTCATTATTGGGATCTTGTACCTTTACATGACAGGTCTTGGTTCTCATTTTTTCCCCTTGTCCCTCCCTCCCTTCCCCCCCTCCTCCCCTCCCCATTTACAAACACTTTATTTCCATTTTCTCATTTTCTCATATTTTTTTCTTTTCCCTAATCTTCCTATTTCACATTGTTAATTATCTCATTAGGATCTTGAGTACTATTATAGTTTTTCACACCAGAGAAACTATTCGGTATTTACACGTGTGACTTATTTCACTTAGGAGTCTATCCTCAAAATGTATCCATTTTCCTATGAATTTAGATTATTCACCTATTAAACTCCCATAGCTTTCCTCCTCCTGCCTGGGAAGCGGCAGCAGTAGCCGCCGCCTTCGGAAGGACACGCTGATAGTCTTGCCTACCACTCAGAGTCAGGATGCCTCGGGCTTGGCCTACAGGTGGGGCCATCGTCACAGGAAAAGACTTGCCACAGGCCCGGACCTTGGGGAAGGTGGGAGTCAGGGGATGAGGCACAGGGCCACACAGCAGTTACCTTGCTTTCTGAGGAAGCTGCCCCACGTACACTGGAGGACCAGGTCGGAAGGGAGATGACCCATCCCCACACCAGCAAAGGGTGAGTCCACTCAGAATGCAGTGCGCCTACTTACACACATGTAAAGTCACACATGGTGGATTAAATTAGAAAAACTGCTTGTTCCACTTTCTTGTCTCATTAGTATCACTTTGTGTTTACCCGGGGAACACTCTCCAGCATAACTGTGGGACGGTGTCCCTGCTGGGAAACAGTTCACTGCAGTTGTCCAAAAGCCACCAGGTAGAGCTCTACAGAACCACACGGCCCTTCCCAGCCACAGCCAGACACTCCTTGCTTCCCTAGCTTCCGGACCCTTTGGTGACTGGGGGCTGCGGTCCATCTCCACAACAGTCATTTTAAGAATGCCGCAGAAGTGGAATCGTGGTAGCACATAAGCCTGTGAAGTTGGCTTCTAAACTGAGAATACTCCCTTTGAGATTAGGTGTTGTACACTGAGTTTCTTTTTTCCTTTTTTTTTAAGGGGCTTTTTTTTCTTCTTTGGTACTGAGCATCGAACCCAGGGCCTCACTCTTGCTGAGCAGGCACTGCACTGCTGAGCTACACCCGTGGCCCTGTACATTGAATTTCTTTCCTGTGGCTGTTCGGTGCTCCACAGTGTGGATGGGCCACCGTGTAACGAGTCCCCTGCCAAGGCACATCTGGGAGGCTCAAGGTACAGGCTGTGGACACCCACATGCAGGTGCTCAGCGAACCTAATCCTTCTCTGACACAGTGTTTGGTCACAGCAGGGGCCATGCTGCAGAATCTGACATGGCCCCCTACTATCGACTGCTCATTTGCAGAGGGGAACTAAAAAGCAAGACACAGATAACTGTGTCTGAAACACGCAAATGCCCCATATGTGTATTTGCTTAAGTTTTTTCAAAGTGTAAGGAAACACTAAAAATAAACAGGGGTTATCCATGGAGGAGGGAGGAAACAGGATGAGTGGACGAGGGATAAAAGTGAGATTTCTGTAAAGGCATCTTTTGGAATGTTTATGTAATTAAAAAGGAAAAAAATAAGACCTAAAAATGGCATGCAAATGGAAACAAAGGCACTCAGTCTGGTACAGGGCTGGTGTCTCAGTCACAAAGGAGAGAGCGCCACTCAGCAGCCTTCACACACGGGTACTCTGATCATATGAGTAAATCCATATCGGGATCCACTTGATAGGGAGAAGCAGAGTGTGTTTAGCCTGCACTCAGTAGTTGTCTTGTAAGAGGGATTGCTACTGACACTTGATCCAGTGCGAGGTACACTACAGGATAAAACAAGTGTATTATCAGAATTGTGTTACTAAAAACCAAGATTTTCAGTGTAAGAAAAAGCCATGCAAGTGTAAATTCAAAACCCCTATAAATCTTGCATCTAAATTATAAATACCAATAGAAATTTCTGGAGTTTTTTTCTCTAAAAAACAAAATACTTCTTTCCTTGCTGAAAGTCCTGGAGGTGAAGACAACATGACAAAAACGAGCATCTCAGGTAGCCGGTGATGTCCCTACATACCACCCAGCTCTGAGAGGGGCAGGCTCCTGAGACAAGTGACAGGTTCCAGATCTGGGACAGGACAGGTGCATGACTCCCATACCAGTCAGCAAAGAAGTGATCAACAAGTAGGATATACACAGAAAGAATGCAAGAGTCAAGGTGAAGAGGTAACACTGGATCACAATGTACCAATGTGGGCCTCGGTAAGATAACAACAGAATGGATTGACACACAAATCAAATATACTTATGAAGTTCAGCCAGACATGGCGATGCACACCTGTAATCCCAGCACACTGGAGGCTGAAGCAGGAGGATCACCACGAGTTTGAGACCAGCGTGGGCTACACAGTGGGTTCAAGGCTAGCCTGAATTACACAGTGAGACCCCATTTGAAAACAAACAAACCCCCATGAATTTATATGGATATCTTTAAAATGGCTACCACTGGAGACTACCAGGGTACCAGCTTTAAAAATTCATAAAGAGAAAGAAGCATTTATTTTGCCTTTCCTTATGAATGATTTTTCAAGGTAAGCAAATAGTTAAGGAAGGGAAATTCTTTAAAGAAGAACTCAGCTTCAAAGAGCATTTGAGGTTAGGCAACTAGAAAATTACCACTTGGAAACCTCTAATAAAATAACTGATCCAGAGAAAAATCATCAGTGAGTGCTGAAACCCTAAGATGGCTCCCTGGGAGGGAGAGACGGGCTGGCCTAGTGAGCCACTGCTCATCTGGAGCCACCTCACATATGTGCCATACCCACAGCCACACTCCCCAGCAGTGCCTGGATCATCTAAAAGTTGCCAGAAGACACTGTCTTCATTCCAAGTCATTGGCAATAGGCCCCTTTATAAATCTGCATGACTCTGTCAGTAGAAACTTCACTACAAGGCACAGGCATGACACTAGGAAAAAGAAAAGGCACTTTGGGCCTTCCTTTAGGTTTGTGTTCTGGTTGCCCTAAATTAACCCTGGACTCTACTGCGTTTTTCAAAGCACCCTTTCAAAGTCTTGGGTACGACTCATCTCCCACAATTCAGTGGTGAAGCCACATCCCTAGGGACAGCAGTGAAGTCTGGGTTACATTCCTGTGTTTCCACACACCTCGCTCTAGTCTTCTCCAGACTTTCCCAAGTGACTTCTTTCCTTTATAAACATTCAAAACTAGCATAATTTGAGGTCTTTTAAAGGCTACATGTTTTCCCACTAAAACTTTATAGCTCACAAGAAACTCATCAACAAAATTGTACATAATGTAAGATTATTAAGACAAATATAAAGCAATCCCCACTTAGGCACAATTTTTGGGCAAAAAAAAAGTTTTAAGAATGTTTATTGAATTTATCTTTGAAACATCAGAAACTGTAAGAAACAATTAAAATAACCAGCAATAAAGTAACTCTACTATCTGAACAATGATTAAAATTATACCAACCTATATTTACCAGCATTTAATGAGATTGCCAATGTTAAGTGACAACAAAACAGGCTATCAGTCCCTAGAGTAGGGTTATTTTACACATGATGGAAGAGAAAAACCCCAGACCCATCTTTTTCCACAGAGTAGGGATTAAATATCTGCACGCTAAAAAACCAGAGTTCCTCCCAGGGACATGGTATGCTGTGACTGGCGAGAAACACCTAATGCCTGACTTCTCCCTGGCGAGAGAAAGGAATAGACACACATCCAATGGCTTTGACTTTCTGGGATGCATCCTGAAGGACTGGCTTCTGTCGCGTCTAAATCAAAGCAGAGACACCAGCAGAGCACGGAGCTGGGGCCAAGAACATGAAGCATCAATTAGCACCAGAGGGTGCAGTACCACAGATATACACTAGGGGAGCACCAGCATTATTGCTTACTACAACTCAGAGGCCACTGTACTGCAGACTGATAGCAGGGGGAGCACTGTGGTAGAAGTTAGTAAACCTCAGATTACACCCCACAAGTCTAGAGAGAGAACTAGGCCAAAAACAAAACAAAAACTGCAGAGGATGCCAGGATCTCCCTAGGATGAATGGAAGAAGTCCTTCCAGTACACCAGGCTACAAAGACTAGTAGAGGCAGCCGACTTCAAATACCAAAATCCCAACAAAGACAAAAGAAATAAAAATATGGTATATCCAAAGGAACATATTAAATCTCCAGAGTCTAACTCCCTAAAATTGGATATATAATTACTAAAGAATTCAAAATACCTGCCATAAGACTTAAGTGAATTAAGAGCACAAAAAAGTGAACAAAATCAGGAAAATGATACATGAATAAAGTGAGAATAATAAGAAAGAGATTAAAAATATGAAGAATCACAAAAACTAGAACCAAAGAATACAAAACCCAAATGGAAACTAGAGGGACTTGAACAGCAGGTCTGGCCAGGCAGAAGAAAGAATCAGCAAACAGAAAGACAGAACTTTCAAAATTAATGATGCAGCTGAAAAAAATAAAGACAGCCTAAGGAAACTACAGGTACCATAAAGCAAAATAACATATGTACTATCAACTTCAAGAAGACAAAACAATCTATTTAAAGAAATAAAGCTGAAAACTTCCCTCATTTAGAAAGAAAAATGGGACACACAAGTTCAAGAAGCTCAAATAATTCCATTATGATAAATCTAAAGAGATCTATATCAAGAAACTTGATAATCAAGCTGTCAACGTCTCAGACAAAGAAAAAAATCTAGAAACAGCAAAAGAAAAGGGACCCATCATATACAAGGGAGTTCCTATTAGACTATTGTAAGATTTCTCAGCAAAAACTTAATGGTATATTCAAAATACTAACCAAGACAACCTATTAATCAAGAATACTATGCCTGCCAAAGCTGTCATTCAAAAATAAAAGAGAAATTAAGACTTTGCTATAAAAACAAAAATTTAGTGAGTTCAATGTTACTACCTTATTCTCAGAGACCTACAACTTTAAGTGAAAGGAAAAGAACAAAAAAATCATACTAAAAACTCCCCCAAAACCCTCAAAATTTTGTTAGCTGTAAATATACAAATATAGAGCCCTGTAGTCAGGTAATACAGGTGTATAAACCACTTTTAAATCTGGTAAAGAATTTTTAAAACCAAAAGCATAAAAAAGAAAGCATAATCTATGTTTATGAATATAGAATATAAAAAGGTAACTGTCATTAATAACAAAAAGTGGGGACAAAGAAAGGTAAAAATGTAGAGAACTCTTACAGGATGAATTAAATTATCAATTTTAAATAGATATCAACATCACTTTAAGATACTTTATGTAACCACAATATTACCAACATCTACAGATTATACACAAAAGGAATCAAATGAGGATCAAAATATATCACTATTAAAAATCAACAAAACACAAAAGGCAAACAATATTTTTACAATTAACAAATTGATAAAACAATATTTGAACATATTTAATATTAAAATATCAACATTACCCAAAGTAATCTACATATTTAATGCAATTTCTACCAAAATTCCTATAGTTTCTAAACAATCATACAGAATCCCAAAGAACACAAAAAGTCAAACAATTCTAAAAAAATAAACAATAAAGTTGGAGGCCTCACACTTCCAACATACCACAGATCCATTCACTGTGGTGTTGGTATAAGGACAGATGCACAGACCAATCAGAGTAGGGAGCTTAGAAATAAACCATTGCAAATATTTTCCACAGGGATGCCAAAAATATACAATATAGAAAAATAGTCTCTTTAACAAATGATGCTGGGAAAACTGGATGGATATTCACATGCAAAAGAATGAAAGTAGATGCATACTTTACTCCATATACAAAAATTAACTGAAGTATACTAAAGATTTGAACCAATGAGATAAAATTATAAAACTTTTAGAAGAAAAGTTTCAGAATATCGGATTTGATGATGTCATAAATACAACAAAAGCAAAAATAAATAAGTTACATTAAACTTGGAAACTTTTGTACATCAAAGGAAATAATACAGTAAAAAGGCAATGTACAGAATTAGAGAAAATACAGCAACAAATCAAGTGAAAAATAGAGCCAGGCATGGGGTACATGCCTGTAATGTCAGCACTCTAGAAGGCTGAGGCGGGGGATCACAAATTTGAGCCCAGCCTGGGGAATTTAGTAACTCTGCAAGATCCTGTCTCAAAATAAATTTTTAAAAAATTCAAGTAGCTCAGTGAAAAGGCCTTGGGTTCAACAATCCCCAGTACTACAAGAAAAAGAAAGAAAAATGGGCAAAGCTCTTAAACATTTTTCCAAAGAAGATACACAAATGGCAAATTAAGTACATGAAATGATGTTCAACATCAATCACCATAAATGAGAATCAGAACCACAATGAGACGTCACACTAGACCCATTAGGAAGACCTCATTAAAAACTCCAACAACAAGTGTTGACAAGAAGGCCTGGAAAATGGAACATCTTTACATGGTTGGCAGGAGTGTAAAATGACAACTGCTGTGAAAAACAGTATGAAGACTCCTCAAAAAATTAGAAATAGAACTATCTAATCCACAACTCCACATCTAAGTATCTATCGAAAAGAATGCCACACAGTGTGTCAGAAGGTATGTGTACCTCATGTTCATGACAACATTATTCACAACAGACAAGAGCTGGGAGCAACTACATGTCCATCAGTATACAAATTAACAAGTGTGGTATAAAAATGCAAGGGAATATTATGCTGCTTTTAAAAAGGGGAACCTGTCACATCCTACTACATAGATGAACCTTCAGGATATTATGACAAGCAAAATACACCAGTTATAAATGGACAAAAAATGTAGGTCTCCACTTATAATCTACTATCTAAAATAGTCAAAATCATAGAAACAAGATAGAGGATGGTAACTAAGGACACAGGAGAAGTAGTAGGAGGGAGAGTGAATGTTTAATAGGCACAGTGTTTCAATTTTGCAAAATGAAAACAGACCTGCGCTACAACAATGTAAATATATTTAACTGCACAATGTAAACAATGTACCTGTGGTACAACAATGTAAATATACTGAACTGCACACTGAAATAGTTAAGATGGTAAATTTAATGTATGTGATTTTTATAATAAAAAGGGTATTGTATTAAATGATTTACAAAGCATAACATGTAAATCATAAAGAACAACGCTGGCATGTGGGGTAAGCTGCAATAAACACAAACTCGTTGGTTCTGTGCTTCAGTGTCACAGGCTGACCTTGCTAAGGAAAGTTCTCTTCCTAATCTATACCCCAGCCTGAATTTCCCAACCCGCATCCTTCCTATGTGCCACAAGAAAGCATTCAGTTTCCATTCATTCTCTCCAGGGAAAGTGAAAACAAATTTCTAAAGCAACAACACAACTACACTTTCAAGTTCTTTACACAGTCCTTAAGTACAATGTATCTATTTATATATTGACTCAATGGTAATATTGGGCTATGCAAAAATAAAATGCTTTCCTGATTATGCAGATATTAAAATAAGGCCCTAAAAGGTGTTTGAAAACATGCCACCTAAATCTAGAGGATCATGTGTTTACATGCAAACGGAGACACTGTTACACATGCTACTGCTCTGCTCCTGACCATAGCCACCACAGACAGTGCCCACCCTGGGGATGTAGTGAACATCACTGGCTGCTTTGGTCTACATCCTGAATGTCCCCCAAAGCTTCTGTTTTACACACCTAGGCTTCTTTCTCTAGGGAGAAAAGAGCCTTTCCACAGAGGTCTTCAGGTCACTGAGGGCACGCCTGGAAGGCCACAGTGAGAGTCCAGCCCTCTCTTCTGTCCAGGCTTGGCATGAGGAGAGTAGCACTGTCCCTCCACAGGCTCACACCACAGTGTGTGGCCTTGCCACAGGCTAACCAGCAGAACAAGCGACGGAGGCCTCTGAGCCACCTTTCATCACCAGGAAGGTCCAGCTCTCTGAGCTGCAGATCTGAGAGTGGTTGTGTTCTCAAAGATTCCCCGTTTAGTGAAAATATACCCTTGACTAATAGTTTTCCTTTAGAAGTGTGAAGACACGAAAGGAGAGTGCTTACCTGAATGTAATACACACCCTTCTCCTGAGCATACATCATGAGAAAACAGTAATCGAGGTTCTGCTTTGTTCTCCATCTGAAAGGGTTTCCAAACACACACAGGTCAGAGACCAGTGCAACTGTGTACATAAGCTTAGCTGTAGAAACTCCAGTGTTTGACACACACACACACACACACACATACAGTGGCAAAGCAAATTCACTTTTCCCTAATGAAGCCTTTATCAAAAAGTACTCCTGAGAACACTAATCCTCAAGGCGGGCTGAGGAAAAGGAGTCTCACTCAGGTCAATCAAATTTGTGAAACACTGACAGCCGCCTCAGCTGAGAGACACGCTTGTGTTAGTGCATTAGAGGTGCTAAAACATCTAGCAGTGAGGCCCCTGGTGGAGAGAAAAAACGTAATCCAGTATTTTTCAAACTTATTTCAACGCAGGCCCTATTTGCAATAACAGCTTAATAATGTCTCACTGAACTAATGCTCTGAAAATTATACTTTGGGGGCGGGCATGGTGCTGCCTGGGCTGAGGCAGGAGTATCACAAGTCTGAGCTTAGCTTGGACAATTGAGTGACTCAGTGAGACACTGTCTCCAAGGGGTGGGGCATGTAGTTCAGTACAAAGGTCTTGGATGCAATCCTCAGTAATGTGGGGGAAAGAAAAGGGAGGGAAGAAAGGAGGAAGGAAAGAAAGAAAGAAAGAAGGGAAAGGAAAGGAGGGAAGGAAGAAAGCAAAGTAAGGAGTTAGGGAGGGAGAGAGACCAAATTATATTTGAGGGAACACTATTCTCGGGCCTAGGAATGTGTTCCATTTACAGCTAAAGATTAGTAAGTATGAATTAGATGCTGAAGAAAAATAGCAACATATTTAAATTTGCATTAAATCCTTTCAGTGAACTCCTAGTCACCTATAGAAACACACTGGCTAATGCCGAATAAGGGTTCCAAAAGCCTGTTGAAGGGAAACACAATTCAAAGAAAAACTCCTATTAAGCTGTGCTTTCTAAGAAAACTCTAGAGAATGTGTGTCTCACAAGCTGGCCTAAGCTTAATGAGACTCCCTAGGATGATTTCTCCAGTTCAGTTCTCAATACCCTAAGCTTTGGTAAGCAAGAGGTACTTTTATGAGATAGTTTTTACCTCACTCTTTCTTGAGAGTCTCCAAATGTCTCTTTCAAGTTTGTCAGGTCAGGGTAGTAGCTTTCAGGAGGTGAGATGACTTCCACCAAGCCAGAACTGATCTCTTTAGAAAATCTATGAGAGAAAGGGCAGCTGGGTCATTTACTCTCTGAATGCTCATTTTATCATATTGAATATTAAAACATCATAAGCGTGTATGAGAAGGTCCAATGTCAAGGTCACGATGTGGGAAATGACACTGACTTTATTTACTGGAAAACAGATTTCTCTAGTAGCAGAAGATTGTTGGCTTTTTTAAAAAAAATAATGCTTTTTAAAAACAGCAAAAAATGCTGTTATCCTTAAAGCAGCATAGAAACCTAGGCAAACTGCAGGCATTACATTCCTGAAAGGAATCAGAACTTTACCAATAAATCAGTCTCACAGAAAATAAGGAATTTGTTAAAAAAGGAAATAAATGAATTTGTGTGGCGATCTAAATGCATGATTTATGCAGAATTCAAAGTTCTTCCATTCTCAGGAAGCTTTAGTTACACACCAAGCCGACATGGTTCTGCTCTGCTGGAGCCACCCCGCAGCGGTCTCCATCCCGGGCAATGCCACTTCCATCCAGCGTAGCCCCATTAAACATTCCACTCTGCATGCGCAGAACTGTCTAGCCCAAAACATCTGGGGTGTAGAAGCTGCAGACCCTTTCCTAAGCTCCTCGCATCAACCTGTGCTGACACAAATGTACTGGAGCTTCTTTCACAAGTTCAAGCTGGTAGAACCTAGAGTAGCTGATTAAAACTAGAGTAGGAAAACAATTTTTGTTTTTCCTTTGTCTTTTCTTTTTATAAGAGAAAGAATGTCTAGCTTGGCATGAGAGCAAGCAAAGAATATAGCTCAGTGTGAAGGCCATGGGTTCAATCCCCAATACTGTAAAAAAAAAAGCATGGGAGGGTGAAGAATAGGAAGAAGAAAACATATCTATCTTTTAGAGGCAAAACCAGGTACCAAGTCAATGAAGAAAGCTGTCTAGAGATTTTTTTTTGGCGGCAGGGGTAGAGGGGATAAAACTCAGGACTTGCACTTCTGAGGCAGGTGGCAGAACCACTGAGCTGAATCCCCAGCCCAGTTTTTTGTTTTTTGTTTTTGTTTTTGTTTTTGTTTTTGTACCAGGGATCAAACTCAGGTCCTTGTCCTTGCGAGGCAGGCAGCAGAAACACTGAATCAAATCCCTGACCCTAATTTTTTTTGTTTTTTTGAGACAGGGTCTCCCTGTGTAGTTCAGGCTGGCCTTGAACTCACAGCAATCCTCCTGTCTCAGCTTAAGTGCTGGGATCACAGGCATGTGCCACCATGCCTAGCTGGAGACTAATTTTTATAATATCCTACTAAAAGTACTAAAGCAATTTTGTCAAAAGTACTAATATGTGAAATTTCCTAATCTTCCCTCTATTATCTGCTTTGTACCCTGCTCACAGTAAACCAGTATTCAAACTTCACAGAGCAGAACAGATTTAGACACAGTTCAGTACAGAGGTCTGAAACAGCTGTGTGATTTTCTATCCTGACAACAGAAATATTTTTGCATGGTAAACAGAGGGCAAAAAGACTTAAATGATCCCATATAACTATGTTATATTCACTACCTTCCACAACTAAGTGTTCAACGATGACAGTGTTATATACAAATGTCACTTAAATCTTTTTCTACAGTGAAATACACCAATTTATCCCACTGGATAACTAGATTTGTAGGCACTTTATACAATGTAAAAGACAATGGCAGGTAATGAACAATGAACTCCACAGAGGCACTTTCTCTTAGCAAAAAGCAAAGTGAAAACAGCAACTAAAATATTTCCATTCCCATAATGAAGGAGGACTTACTCTTTCTCCAGGTTGGCCACAACACTGTGTACATAATCAGTATCTGTCTGGGAGAGAGAAAAAAAATTAAATGTACATTTGTGTTTTGTTTTTCTAATTTAATTCTGAACTCAAAGTTAAATGGTGAAACATGCATTGAAAACATTAAATTTTCAGCTGCCTTACTAGATTTGCATTTCAGTATCCAACACACTTAATTCCATCGCAGATTTCTAAGTTTAAGTTATTTTCAATTTTCTATTTTCACTAGAGAAGCTGAGCACAAAGATTACTTCCACTTCTCTGGAAACATCCAAACTCTAAATGGTGAGCACCAGTAGTGACATATACAGGATGCTACTGAGAAAGGTTTTCCCACTTAGACTCAAAACTCAGGTTCAGGATTTGCCTCTGTAGCTAATGGACTGCATAAGCCGGAGCCACTTCTCTAAGCTTCAATTTCCAATTCTATTTTTTTTTTAATGATTAAAGGTGGGAGAAAAATAAGACTTCAGGAACTATGAGATTAAATGATAAAAAGTGTCTATATTGGATTGTTCTGGGTCTCCTCTGAAGAAAGCCAAACCTATGACTGACCTAGAAGCGTGTGGCCACCTGAACCCAGGTCTCCCCTTGGAGCTCTCCTTGCCCCTCTTTCTATTCATTAGAAGCAAAGACAGGTGATTGCTGAGTTTTGGGGGACTTAAAGACAGAAATTTTTCTTAAGGTTTTTAAAAAGGTTTGTAGAGACTCTAAAAGATAATTATTGTCACCCAATTCTGAGAATAAACCTATGAAGCTAAACTCAGATATGTATACTCACAGGGAGGGAAAGAGAATGTGTGAGAAGGAAAGTGAACCTTGAAAAAGCAAAACAGGAAAAAGTATTTTCTCCTAGGGAATAAAATGTTAATGTTTAAATAAAATTAAACATTTTTATTAAGACTGAGAAATTGATATGGCTATAATATGGATGAACCCTGAAAATATTATGTTAAATCAAAGCCAGTTGTGAAGGACCACATATTATATGGTTTTTTTTTGGTACCAGGGATTGAATTCAGGTCCTTGCACTTGCAAGGCAGGCCACTGAACTGCTGAGCTAAATCCCTGGCCCTGTATGGCTGTGTTTATATGAGATTCCAAAAGAGAAAATCTATAGGAACTGAAAGTAGATTAGCAGTTGTCTAGGGGTAGAGAGAGGAGGGAGGTTAATTCATAATGGATAACAGTTTATTTTTAGAGTAATGAAAATGTTCTAAAATTGACTGAAGTGATGGTTGCATGACTGACTTTGGATGTGTGAAATGTATATGAATTACAAACAATACAAAGATATAATAAAGTTTTTTTTTAAAAGCAACCCCAAGTATCACAGATTGTACATACGAACTATGGAAGGAAAAGATCATAGCTGCTCTTAGAGTTCTAGGTGGAAAAGTTAAGTACAAAAGTGGGCCCAAAGGAAATGAGGTAAGATGGTGGATTCAGATGTCTGGGGCTCCACTTATACCAGCAAAGTTCAACTAGCAAATGCCACAGATTAGAACATCTTCTTGAAAATGCCAATATCTGATGCTGGGGATTTAGCCCGGTGGTTCTGCCACCTGCCTCGCAAGTGCAAGGTCCCAAGTTTGATCCCAGGTACCCCCCCAAAAAGAGAGAGAAAGAAAATGCCAACATCTGGAAACAGGCCTGAGACACCTGGATAGTCTACAGAACTGAATGAGAGCAGGAATAGAAGGATGAGAAGAATGTCTCACCACTGCTGTGCCTTCTCTTCCGAGTTCCCCTAAGCTGGTACAGTCCTCTGGAGAAAATTTACCCCAGACCATGGTTTCTACATGTGGGAAAGAGAACTGGAAAGAATGACTCAGCTTCCCAAGACATATATCACAGCAAGCCCACTCTGGTCACACATCCTGGGGAACACTGTGGGTTATGACACAACTGGACCTCCAAGGACAAAGAGAAGCAAAGAAAGTAGAGGTCACAATTACCATCACACCTTGGTAACTCCTCTGCATTCCTGCCAGCTGTAACACCCTATCAGAGTCAAGAGCTAACTTCATAACCCACCCAACAAAGGCAGACTGATCACCTTCCAAAACACAGGGGGAAGGGCCGGGGATTTAGCCAGTTCTGCTGCCTGCCTTATAAGCGCATGGTCCCAAGTTCGATCCCAGGTACCAAATAAAACAAAAGCAAACAAACAAAAAAAGCAAAACACAGCGGGAAGTTCAACTTAGCTTGAATCTGTAAACAGCTAATCATGCTCAGCCTCAAAGGCCAATGCAATGCCCCTGCCAGTGACAAGGACAGCCAGAGAGGCTTTTTAGAGAAGATATGTACTAGACCTGTTTTGATCAAGAAGGCTAGCAGAGGCTCCCCTCAGCCCAACGGCCCCCTCAAAAACTATGCCTAGGCAGGAAGACTCCCACCTCCAACATTCCAGAGAAACTTGGGGCTAGAGTAGGAATTCAAGCGAAAGGCCATCCCATGGTACCACTCTGACAGGCTAGCAATCCTCCTTTGTACATTTCAAAGAGCACAGCCACTTACTCCAGCCATCTTCAGTAGCAATGTCATCTAACCTAGCTCAGTCCAGAGCCCTGCCCAGCTGGAGATTGTAAATAGTAGAACTGGCTGGCCAGGGACTATATGCTATGACCATTGTCCATAGTATCAGCCAGCTGCACATCCAACTAAAGAATTCACAGGAACTCTGCCTATCCAGGGTTGCCAACTAGCTGGACTATGAGAATCACTGGGTAGGTCTAATAGTAAAAGTTTAACCCTTCTGAAGAACACGTAGAAAGGACAGAGAGAGAGAGAGGTTTCCTCCAAGGCACATAAAGCAACGTGGTACACAAGGATTACAACTAATCAGGGAATCGTTACAATGAAACAAAACAAAACAAAAAACCCCTCAAAACTAAAAGACTCCAATTTTGGGCCCAAAAGAAAAAAATATCTATGAAATGACAGAAAAAGAATTTAGAATAATCCTCTTAAGGTAGTTCTGTGGATCCCAAAAACATACAGACAGAAAATTAAATGAAATTTGGAAAACAATACATTAAAAAGAGAGAAGTTTGACAAAGAGATAGAAACAATAAAGAACCAAACAGAATTCTAAAAATGAAGAATACAATGATTGAATTTAAAAATTCAAGAGAAAGCCACAAGAGCAAACTGCACCAATTAGTAAGTTAGGATGCAGAACTGTGAAATTTCCAGTCAGAAGAACAAAATGACAAAAAAGTGAAAAAGGGAGAGGAAAGCCTATATGAATTATAGGAGGTCATGAAGAGATCAAACTTTCACATAATGTAAGCTGCAGAAGGAGAAGAAAGGCCACAAAGATCTTTACCAGCCTCTTGGAGCCTTCCCAGGGCCTGTATGGCCTGACAACAAAGACTCAAAGGTGTCATTTTCTGCATTCCATTCTCATCTCTAGCACCCTCCTCTGCAATTCCCAGCTGTCCATCTGAATTCCTTTTATGTGATGTCATCAGGCCAATCACAGTACTCAGGACATTTCTTTCTTTCAGGCAACCATGTACTGTGCGGCCTGCTGTCCAATGTCTGAGAACGTACGTACTTTGCTCAGGTTATACTGAGAAGATATATGCCATTCTTGATAACTCCAGCATGGCTGAAAACAGAAGCCATTTTACATAATAGGGAACCAGTTAGGAATATGCCAGAACAGTACTGGCAGCTCATAATAAATTATATTTCCCTGGGATCCAAGAAAGAGCTGTTATTACCCACAAACTGCTTGATTTTATATTTTAAGTTAAACATGGATGTACCAAGACAGACAATCAAATATCACAGTATTTTAGCTAGCTTTACTAGTTTCTAAATCGCTCAAATGATGAAAGATAATAAAAGTAAGAAAGAGGAAGTTAAAGGGCTAGACAAAAAGAAAAAAAAAGACTACTTCTTCATTTGCAATACATTTGTCACAGCCTTTCCTTCTCCTAAACAATATGCTGATGCTATAGCAGTGATTATCAAACATTTTATTGGAACCCACTCAGAATAAGTTCATAAATGCAATACTTCTGACCACTTCCATGAAAGTCATCCTAGACAAAGCCTCACCTGGATTATTACAACAGTTATCCAAGAGTTCTCCTCACTTCTGCCCTCACCAAAGCAGCCCACGAGCTCATCTCAGAAGGTAAATCCTATTATTCTTGCAATGTCATTGTCAGACAGGCAAATGCAAGTTGGGACATTTTACAAAAGAACTGGCCAGAGCTCATCAGAAGTTCATGACAAGAAGATGCCCAGGAGCCTTCACAAACAGGAGGAAACTGAGGATGCAGAACAAGCAAATGCAACGTAGGCTTCTCTCAAATGGGTGCTGGAACAGGAAAGTGACTTTAACGGGAAAACTGGAAATCTGAATAAAGTCTACAGTTCAGAGTAATAGCCTAATTTCTAGATTGTGATAAATGTATTACAGCTGTATAAGCTGTTAGCTTCACAGCAAGCAGAGTGCAACTTTTCTTTGCAACTTTTCTCTAACTCTAAAATTATTCCAAAATAAGGTTCTTTTAAAGTGCCTTTAAAAAATAGTAATTCAAGTGTCTTCTCTACTTGAAACACTGAAATCACCATCTACTGTAATTAGAGCAAGGTTTGGTAAAACAGAACTGCCTGTTATTCAAAACTAAAACTTCACTAGACCACAAGCCCACCCATTCACTTATCATCACCCAGGGCTGTTTTCAGGCTAAAATAGCAGAGACTGAACAGCCTGTGAAGTTTAAAATGTTTACCAACGGGTCTTAAAAAATGTACCATAATGTGAGAGAATGAAAAGATGAAAATAAAGTGTTTGTAGATGGGGAGGGGAGGAGGGGGTGAAGGGAGGGCAGAGGTAAGGGGAAAAAATGAGAATCAAGACTTGCCATGTAAAGGTACATGATCCCAACAATGAATGTAACTGTACTGTATCCCTAAAATGTACCAATAAACTCAATAAAATTTAAAAAGAAAAAAAAATGTACTATCCTCCTTGACTTGAGCACAAAAGCAAAGTTCTTCCAGT